GGGGGGTGGGGGGTGACTTATCACTTTCTGTCCCTGTCTCTCTGTGAGCACATGTGCCCTATAGTGAAAATCTAAAAAAAAAAAAAAAAATCACCGACTAGTAAAGGGTATCAGGAAAGGGAAAAGAAAGGCTTTTCTCCAGTTTAATGTGTCATAGTGTATAGCAGTAAAGTGGTAGGCTCGATTAATGTACACAAATATCAGCAAAACGGTATGTGTAACCATGAACACCAAAATGAACGTGGCACTGAAGGGTAACTACCTGAACTTCCAAATCCCAACCACATACACCATACTCTTACTGGATGGCACTTAGGAACTGCCATTGCTTCAAGAGAATTTTCATTATTTTAATGGACACAGTTCATGCTACAACCTTGATTTCCTACCTCAGAAGCCCAAGTTGGCCCCACCCAGTGTTCGGCTTTTTCCCATCTGAAGGAGGTTTGCCATCAAGGAGCGATGCAGTTAGAGAGGTTTGTTTTTTTGTGTTTTTTTTTTTGTTTTTTTTTTTGTTTTTTTTTTTTGCTATAGGGCGCATGTGCTCGCCAGACAGACAGAGAAAGAACACCGCAATTCCTTCTCCTCCATTCTCCTCTCGGGATCTTGGGCACGCACGCATGCACACATGCCCGGCGTGAGTTTGCGATGGGAAAAAAAAAATTATAATAAAAAATAAACTATAAAAAAAAAAAAAAAAATCACCGACTAGTAAAGGGTATCAGGAAAGGGAAAAGAAAGGCTTTTCTCCAGTTTAATGTGTCATAGTGTATAGCAGTAAAGTGGTAGGCTCGATTAATGTACACAAATATCAGCAAAACGGTATGTGTAACCATGAACACCAAAATGAACGTGGCACTGAAGGGTAACTACCTGAACTTCCAAATCCCAACCACATACACCATACTCTTACTGGATGGCACTTAGGAACTGCCATTGCTTCAAGAGAATTTTCATTATTTTAATGGACACAGTTCATGCTACAACCTTGATTTCCTACCTCAGAAGCCCAAGTTGGCCCCACCCAGTGTTCGGCTTTTTCCCATCTGAAGGAGGTTTGCCATCAAGGAGCGATGCAGTTAGAGAGGTTTGTTTTTTTGTGTTTTTTTTTTTGTTTTTTTTTTTGTTTTTTTTTTTTGCTATAGGGCGCATGTGCTCGCCAGACAGACAGAGAAAGAACACCGCAATTCCTTCTCCTCCATTCTCCTCTCGGGATCTTGGGCACGCACGCATGCACACATGCCCGGCGTGAGTTTTAAGTCAACGGGTCTGGAATGCGAATGGCGGTCGACTACATGGGAGTCCAGCGACAAAGCCATTACGCTAACTGCTGGTCCCAGGAGCGATTCAGTTGGAAATGTGTTGGAAGTTCTGAAGACAACTCCAAAGCATGAGCTCCCAAATTATTCTCAGCAATGACAGGATCACTAGAATTAGTACATAGCTTGCCAAGAGGAGGCTTCCGAAGGCAAGAAATATTCAGTTGAATGTATAAATATTGGCATGTTTAACATTAGGACAAAGAATTGGAAGCATCAGTTAGCTTCATTTCCAAGTGAATAAATATGCTGTTGTAATAATGATAATGCAGATTTTGGTGCAAGGTTCTGACTATATATATATATATTAATATCTCCTTAGTGAAAAAAAGCTTGTCCTAAAATGATACTTGAAAAATAAATATATCGAGGGAACCAGCAGTTAGTATAATGGCTATGTCGCTGGACTCCCATGTAGTCGACCGCGGTTCACGTCCCGGACCCGGTGGCTTAAAACTCATGCCGGGCGCATGTGTGTGTGTGTCCAAGATCCCGAGAGGAGAATGGAGGAGAAGGATTGCGGCGTGACCATTCCTCCGGGGGGTGATTTCTCGCTTTCTGTCTCTATGTCTCTCTCTGTCTTTCTGGTGAGCCCAAGCGCCCTATAGCGAAAACCTCTCCAAAAAAATAAATAAATAAATAAATAAAGAAGAAAAACGAATATATCAGTTTCCTGTTAGCCTGCATAATTATGGAAGAGAATTCTCCATGAAGGAAAAGAAACAGGCCCAACAAGCGCTAGTTGCCAAAACAGACCTTAGTCCTCCCAGGGAGCTCGTCTCAGTGTGTTTCAGATGCACCTAAATGCGCAGCCCAGGAAGAAATCCCACAGCTCCAGGGTATCTTCCAATGGACAAATCCAGAGTAAGATCTCCAGGCTCTAGGTTTTCCTCCATTAGCTGGCACATAAAATAATAAAACTAATTACCACACATAATTAACATACAGGATACGTTAATAGTAAGAGAGTCAACAAAATTTAATTGTAGGAGGTCATGTGCCCAGGACAAATGATAGAAAAGCAAACAAATACATTCAGATCCACTGAGGTACTAAGCAGTCTGGTCCCTTTCCGGTTGACCTGATAAGGGCGTGGAATGCGAATGGCGGTCGACTACATGGGAGTCCAGCGACAAAGCCATTACGCTAACTGCTGGTCCCAGGAGCGATTCAGTTGGAAATGTGTTGGAAGTTCTGAAGACAACTCCAAAGCATGAGCTCCCAAATTATTCTCAGCAATGACAGGATCACTAGAATTAGTACATAGCTTGCCAAGAGGAGGCTTCCGAAGGCAAGAAATATTCAGTTGAATGTATAAATATTGGCATGTTTAACATTAGGACAAAGAATTGGAAGCATCAGTTAGCTTCATTTCCAAGTGAATAAATATGCTGTTGTAATAATGATAATGCAGATTTTGGTGCAAGGTTCTGACTATATATATATATATTAATATCTCCTTAGTGAAAAAAAGCTTGTCCTAAAATGATACTTGAAAAATAAATATATCGAGGGAACCAGCAGTTAGCATAATGGCTATGTCGCTGGACTCCCATGTAGTCGACCGCGGTTCACGTCCCGGACCCGGTGGCTTAAAACTCATGCCGGGCGCATGTGTGTGTGTGTCCAAGATCCCGAGAGGAGAATGGAGGAGAAGGATTGCGGCGTGACCATTCCTCCGGGGGGTGATTTCTCGCTTTCTGTCTCTATGTCTCTCTCTGTCTTTCTGGTGAGCCCAAGCGCCCTATAGCGAAAACCTCTCCAAAAAAATAAATAAATAAATAAATAAAGAAGAAAAACGAATATATCAGTTTCCTGTTAGCCTGCATAATTATGGAAGAGAATTCTCCATGAAGGAAAAGAAACAGGCCCAACAAGCGCTAGTTGCCAAAACAGACCTTAGTCCTCCCAGGGAGCTCGTCTCAGTGTGTTTCAGATGCACCTAAATGCGCAGCCCAGGAAGAAATCCCACAGCTCCAGGGTATCTTCCAATGGACAAATCCAGAGTAAGATCTCCAGGCTCTAGGTTTTCCTCCATTAGCTGGCACATAAAATAATAAAACTAATTACCACACATAATTAACATACAGGATACGTTAATAGTAAGAGAGTCAACAAAATTTAATTGTAGGAGGTCATGTGCCCAGGACAAATGATAGAAAAGCAAACAAATACATTCAGATCCACTGAGGTACTAAGCAGTCTGGTCCCTTTCCGGTTGACCTGATAAGGGCGCAGCAGCTCAGGGCTGGGTACAGGCTGTGGACCATCTGAACTGGGTAGCCCAGGCAGTCCACCTTCCATGGAAGTAACTTCCCATTAAGTTCTGCTGCAAAGGGAGCCTTCACTAACACATCCGCCCCCCCCAAGCCTCATAGGACTGGAAAAATGGAACCCCCCCCCGCAAACTACTGAATGTTCCTGTGTACCCGCAACTGTAGAATGCCATGCTCTTGTGGGCTTGTGTGTGTGTGTACATGTGTGGCCGATTTTCCTCCAGTTCATACTCAGAAATAATACAGGAGCAAGTATGAGGATCTAAAAATTACACACATCTTTATGGTATGTTATGCCTAAGGCACACACACACACAGGTAGATACTGGAAATCTCATTGCTCAGCTATTCTTTTTAGCCTAGACTCTTCTCATCAGGTTCCTGGGCAAAATTACTTTTAGACCAGCTTAGAAATACGGGATGCAATTTAGGGTAAGATTAAGACTGTGCCCAGGCACCAGGGTCTCCTGCTTCCCTGCCAGTGTCTGGAGCACCCAAAACCGCACAGGAAACTGCGGTGCCCTGTGGCCTCCAGCCCCGGGTCAGCGAGGTGCACTGGACTTTCTGCCGCAGGCTCCCAATATGCCCGAGCTTGCTGAGTGTGGGGTCCTCACCCGCCCGCGTCCGCTCTTGTCTCTCGAGTGGATATCCTCTCGAGGTGCCCATGACCCCATTCCCACGGGGGGACTGCGTTCCAGCGTGAGACAGTCCCTGCCCCATAGGCCTTCTGACTCCCACCGGAGCGTTCCCATGCCTCAAACACACCCCATCCCAACTCTGCCTCTTAGCCAGCCGTCCCCGTCCTCATCCTCAGCACGCTCAATTCCTCGAACCCCCTCCACCCCCCACCCTCCCGTCTGGGAGCTCCTGTCTCTCTTCTCTGGGAGAAGCCACAAACCTCGTCCCACCCCACTCATTCCGGGGCTCCCCTGCATCGCCACCACTCCCCCTCCCGCCTGCCCTGGGCTTCCTCTCCGTACTCCCTCCCCGGGCTCCGTTCTTTTCCACCCTGCGGAGGGCGCCCCAAGAATGCCGACAGGACATCCTGACTGTCCCGCCCTCTGGGCTCAGGCTTCCCAGCATCGTGGTCCTTACACACTCTCCACCTTCCAGGCTCAGGTTCCAGCGTTCCCCAACATCACGATCCTGACCCGCCATTCTGCCTTTCGGGCTCTGGTGCTCAGACTCCCCGGCACTGGGGCCCTAACTTCTTGCGCTGGGCTCCTGTTCCCCAACGTTGTGGTTCTGTCCCCACTCCGGGTTCGGGTTCCCGGGCTCCCCAACGTCGCCTGACATCCCCGCCTCCCCAGCTCGGCCCCGCGGCTCCCCAACATCGCAGTCTTGAGCCCCAGCACAACTCGCTCCGCGCCTCCCTCGCGGGACTCACCGGCAGGGGCGGCCGCCCCGGCAGGGGCGGCGGCCAAGCCTGTGCGCGCAGCCCAACCCGGCCCAGCCCGGCCCAGCCCGCACTCCCGGCTCTGGCTCCTGCCCGCGAGCTTCTCGCCGCAGCTATATGCACCGCGGGCTCGGCTGGGGGAGGGGCTGAGAGGAGGGGACTGCCAGGGAGTCGGGGTGACGCCCGGCTCCGCCCCTTCCCGGCCCGGGGGCGGGATGCGCAGATCCGCTCCGGCTCGGCTGTCTCCGCCGCGCTGCGGCCCCTCGCGAGGAAGTTGACTGACGCCGCTTCCTTCCACGCTGTGCTCAGACCCTAGCAGTTCTTTTTCAGCTGCAAGAAACCCGAGGGATTGAGAGAGAAAGAAACGCAGTAACTACTCTCTTTCTCTTCCAAGAGCCCACCCCCGCGGGGCCATTTCTCAAAGGTCTTCGGAGAGGGAAAAACAACTTCTGCGATCTCCGCACGGATTCGAATCCTGGCCCTCTGTTTCTACACCCCTCGTGTGAACATCCAGGACCATGCCCGTGAAATAAATCACGTTATAACACATCACGAAGGCCTTGTACACACACACACATCCCTGAGGTGCAGCCGCACAAGACTCACGCCTCTCCTAAGACTGACTCGGAAGAACATAGGCCACGGTCCTGCCTGCCCAGCGACCCATTTCTACCCAGCATCCACATTCCACAGCCCTCTAGGAAAACCTCGCAACAAAGACCCACACTGGAGGCGGGCTCCACGCGGACTTACTCCTCACCCACAGCATTCTCTGTATTTTACCATGAGAAGAATACACAAGAACTAGGAACATCAATTCAATGAAATCGACTTTGCTGTTAAAAAGCCCTCTTGGCTATTTAGAGAAGACAAAGCGATTAAATTCCGGGAAGATGGCCTGCACCAGTGTTATTTTAAGAGGTTCATCTACTTCATCATTTTTTCAAGACAGTCCTAATTCTGATTTTACTTCCAGCACTCTCCCCTTACACCACCCTGTTTCAGAGACATATATATAACAACATCTCGTGTTTACACAATATTTTTACTTTTCAGGAAAAAAATCTATTATTTTATAGATTACTCCTCAAAACATCACAAAGGAAAAAAAATAGGTTATCTCGCAGGATTATATCAATTCCATAAGTGGAAATATTTAGATTCTGAGCATTTACATGGTAAATTTGAAGCAGTCAGAGCCAGGAAAGAGCTCATGGGCTTGTCTTCAGGGGCTACCCTCCCCACAGAAATCAAAGCCCAGCACCAATAATTACTAGTGGAAATGTCACAGTAAGATTTTGGTAGCTTTGTCCCCTCCATCTCTGCTTCACCCCCCCAAACATCAGGGAGCTCTCTAGAGTCCTCTAAAACTTGAGTCATTAGTATTAACTCACATTCTTTTTCTAGCCAGAGATCACAATTGGACAGCAGAGCTAATGGAAAGGAGTTTGGTGAAAACTCCAGGCCAGCAGGTGGCGTGGAGGTACAGGTGACTGGACCCACATAGTCTACTGAGTCCCAAACTGAGTGGCTTGAAAATGATACAGGTGTTTGTGCCCAAAATCCCAAGAGGAGAATGGAGAAGAAGGGATTGCAAGTGGCCATCCACTGTCTGCTACCCCCCCCACACACACACACACCAGGGGGTGAGTTCTCACTTTCTCTCTCTCTTTTTCTCTTTGGCAAGCACGCACACCATGTAGCAAACTGAAAAGAAAAAAAGAAATTAAAAAAAAAACCTTCTTATTTCCTACTCAGAGCTACCTTAGAAATAAAATTACAGGTCAACATATCTAAGGCCCAGACAAAGACTGAAGCCAACTAAAATGAGCTATCTGTACCAGCTAATAAGCCTGACAAATGTAATTGACTCTTTCTGAGACTTCCCCCATACGAAATGTGAAAAAAATCTTAAAAGGAAACTACTAAGTCCTCTCATTCATTCTCAATGCTAAATGTTGCTTCCTTCTCACCCTTTATTTAAAATTTAAATAGACAGGTGTGACCATCTTGGGTGTTAGGTATTGTGATCTGTGTGCCAGAGGATTTTGTTTATAAAATCTGGTGCTGTCTAGAGCCATTAGGTAAGAGTGATGGTTTTCCTTCCTTCATGCCTTTTAAAATTGCTTGCATCTCACACTAGCATCTTCCATTTTCTACTGTGAGGTCATAGTCTACTTCAGTTTGGGTAGGAAAAGTTATGCTTTGGTAACTGGAAAAAAGCGTCTTAGAATAACTTTGCTATTTTTGCATCATAATAAAAGCCTATCAGATGGATCTTTAATAATGGTCACGATGGCCTTCGGTATACAGAAATTCAGATGATTTTTCTCCATTTAACGCTCCCATTTGGCCAAAAAAAAAAAAAATTAACCTGAGATTTTTCTGAAAGCTGGAAATAGGCAAAACCTTGGCTAGCACAGCATTTCCTCAATAAGGAAAATGCTAAACTAATTCAACCCACATTCTTTCAGCCATCATTTCCCTTTCACATTGCCCTTGAAAGCCACAAACACAGGCAATATACAAATGATTTTAAAATAGATACACAAAATAAGTAGCTATCTTTGTCCCAATCTTAACTAAATAATTTGGTCTATTTTATGTTGTATACATACCACACTGTCACTGTTTTGGTAAAACTTCTGCTTCGTGTTTACATAGCATCACTTCGGCAAGAAGCTCAAAGTGTGTGTAATGATGTCATACATTGACGTGAAGAAGAAAATGAGTGGCAACTCGTAGCCTTGCTGTAACATGGAGAAATGGAAGCATGGTGCAGTTGTTAACCTAGAAAGAAAGCTGGAAAAAGTTGAGTCAAGCAAAAAAGTTTATTTGGGCCAGGGTTAGGACAATTGCCGGGGTATCACAAAATTCATCACTCTTGAAAATGGGTCTTACAGGCGTCAGGGTGATTTTCAAGGCAAATAGAGAGGGAATTACATAATCATTAGTCAAAGCTTTACATTTATCCACTCTATAGCAAGGATTCTTATACATCAGTAATTGATTGAATTCTACAATAAGAGGAGTAAGATGTCATCTTGGTATTTGGGATCAGCATGGGAGCCAGTGATTCTAGCACATTGGTGTATTTACTAATTAAGAGAAGGGAGGAGGATCAGCAGATGGCATAGTGGCTACATCGCTGGACTCCCATGTAGTCGACCGCAGTTCAAGTTCCCAGACCTGGTAGTTTAAATTCACACAGGGCATGTGTGCGTGTGTGCCCAAGATCCCGAGAGGAGAATGGAAGAGAAGAGATTGTGACATGGCCACCCTCCCCCACCCCGTCTCTCTGTCTCTCTGAGTCTTTCTGGCCAGCGCATGCACCCTATAGCGAAAACCTCTTAAAAAAAAAATAGGGGGAGGAATGTATTTGGACAATAAGGATGTCCTTGGTCTAAAATGTTCAATGAGTATTGGTAGCATCTTAAACTATTTTAGGTGCCTTATCTCAGAGGCCCAGAGCTTAAGAGGGAATGTGCCCAGGTCCACATTCCAAGGTTATTTATTTGCATGCCTGAGCTCAGTTTCCTTAACAGCCTCTTGGCTTCTTCTATGGAATGAATGCACTCTTTATTTATTTTTCTTATTTCACATGTTAAAACCATTTGCAGTGCTGGTAGGTGGTGTGGTAGTTAAGATATTGGACTCCCACAATCTCAGTTTAAGTCCCAGACCTGGTGACTTGCTTTCTCTTTCCCTTTGGTGGCTTGCTTTCTCACTTTCCCTTTCTCTCTCTAGTCAAATTTAAAATAATAATAATTAGCCTTTTTCTAGGCCTAGCATTGCTGCTGAGAAGCACCCAGCCATGCCCCTCTCCTTCCAGACCCCAGAAACTAGAAAAGGACAGAGCAACTACAGGCATCTCTATTTCTGGCATGTGCTGCCCTTTTCTGGGCCCCACTTCACTGCTGAAAAGTGCCCAGACAGTGCACCTCTCTCCCTCCAGACCTCAGAAACTAGAAAAGACAGGTCTAGGTGCACAGTAGCCAACCATCTGAATAATCTGAGGTTCAGAGAAATCTTCACCCATTACTGAACCTGCTGCAAGAAGAAAGTCCTCTTCATAAATCTGTTCTCAAAGCTCCTCCTGTGGTTACTACATTGCAAAACATCATAGTAGGGACAAATTAGCACAGAATTATTTCACAGTGAAGGGAAACACACAAGCTCATAGTTACAGAAATCTTCTCCAACAGATTAGCCAAAAGCGAATACATTGCCAAAGGACTAAGTCACAGAAGAGCCTCAAGGATGAGAGAACCGGTAATACTTCTCCGATAAGGGAACACGGTGGCTTGTCTCCAAGTATGGAAAAATTAGAGTATATTACCAAAGTGTCAGGAAAAGAATCCAGAATATTTATGGTGACAAAACTTTATGAAATGGCAGAGAAAAGAGACATTGAACTCCAGGAGATGAGCAAGTCCTTCCACAATATGAAAGAAGAATCAGACACAATTAAAAAGAATCAAATGGAACTATTAGAGATGAAGGTTATAATGCAGGTAATCAAAACCTCCCTCAAAAGTATTGAAAGCAGGGACCAGCAGTTGGCATACTGGCTATGTTGCTGGATTCCCATGTCATCAACCACAGTTTGAGTCCCAGACCCGGTGACTTAAACTCATACTGGGCGTGTGTGCGTATGTGCCCAAGATCCCGAGAGGAGAAGGGATTGCAATGTGGCCATCTCCCTGGGGGGGGTGGGGGTGATTTCTTGCTTTCTGTCTCTGTCTCTTTCTACCTTTCTGGTGAGCGCACACGCCCTATAGCAAAAACCTATACAAAAAAAAAAGCATTAAAAGCAGATTCGATCATGCAGAAGATTAAATCTCAGAGGTAAAAGACAAAAATCTCTGACCTAGAAAAAAATCACCAAAAAGACCGACAAAATAGCCCCCCAAAATTAGGACAATATCTGAGAAATACTAGATACTTTTAAATGTCCAAACATCTGAATAACTGTTATCTGAGAAGGTGAAGAAACTAATAAGGGCATTGATAATCTATTCCACAAAATCCTGAAAGGAAACTTTCTAAGTCTAGAGAAGCATTCAAACATTCAGACCCAAGAAATACAAAGAATTCCAAATAGAATCAACCCAAGAAGATCCTCTGCATGGTATATCAGAGCCGGATTG